ACAATACTCCAAGTGAGGTCTCACCAGTGTTCTGTACAATGGCATGAGCACTTCCCTCTTTCTATGTGTGGCTTCTGCGGTTTGTTCCTGTTATTCCTCCAGTAACAATGGGACACTATAGTCACCCAGACCACTTCAGCTCAATGAAGTGGTCTGGGTGTCAGGTCCCTCTAGGGTTAACCCTGCCTAATGTAAACATAGCAGTTTCAGAGAAACTGCTATGTTTACATCTGGGGTTAAGCCAGCCTCTAGTGGCTGTCTTCCGGACAGCCACTAGAGGCGCATCGGCAATGATTGAGGCATATTATACCTCAATCACGCAGAGCGTCCGTAGGAAAGCATTGAAAAATGCTTTGCTATGGACACTTTGAAGGCGCGCGCGGCAGTGCCGCACATGCGCATTCGGCGCCGGTGACGTCAGACAAGGATGCTGACGTCGGCGGGGGAGGAGAGGTAATGGAGCCTGGCGGGAGAAAAGGGTGAGTAGCTGAAGTGGTTTTAACCCCTTCAGCGCCGCGGGATGGAGACCCTGAGGGTGCCTCCACCAAGCGGTTTTCCTGACACAATAGTGTCCCTTTAAAACTCACAGATCTGAGCATTTCAACAATTTGGTTTGCCCCATTTTGCATGGCATTGTTCGGACTTTACTAAATAACTCTGTATGAATCTGTATAATATCCCTGGACATGTTTACTAATGATAACTAGGTTACATGAGACAGTGCTCGTGACATTCATAACACATGTCGGTTGCCATTAATGATAATGAAGTTGTGCGGAAAATGTCTGTGCAGTCTCTCTCAGTGGGTGACCAGTGAGAGGCTTAGAGTATCAGTTCACATCATCTGATTACTAGCTGCCCAACTAAATGTTTCTCATACTGCAGAGGCAGAGGGGAAGGAAACCCAGGGGCAGCTGTGTCTGGCACAACAGGGAAAACATCTGGGTTATCTGTTATAAAACAGCGCCCAGACGCTCCTGTCTCCATGGCCACTTTAATGGGCTGAACTTGTTATTGGAGTTGTAGTGTGTCTGTAATTATAGTGAAATTACAAGATCCTTCACACTTGGAGTAAATTGAGCTTCACAGTAAAGGTGCAAAGTAAGAACGCAATGATTTATTTCAAAGGGACACTCTAAGCACCAGAGCAGCTTTAGCTTAATCAAGTGGTTTTGGTTTATAGATCATGCAGGATCACTGCTCAATTTTCTGATATTTAGTTAAATCACTTTCTTTAAGGAGCCCTAGCCACACTCAGTAGTGGGATTTAAAAATTTTAGTAACCACTTCTGACTTTTCATATGTTTCCAACTCCACAGGACCGGCCCAAGACAATGTGCTGCCTGGGACCAAGACACGTCCCTCCTCCACCATGCATGCACACACACACACACACACACACACAAGCACATTGACAGAGTCACACATACATATCCTGGGGGCAAAGGGAATGCTATTACATTAAATGCATAATCCTTGTGTGTCTTGCTGATGAGCAGAATATACAAAAATCAGGTATACCATGCAATGAGCAATAAATACATAAACTTGATATATCACACCAATGGAAAGTTAATGCATAAACTTGGTATACCATGTCAATGAAGCAATAAATACATATACTAGGTATATCATGCCAAAGAGTAATACGTTCATAAAATTTGTATATCATGCCAATGAGCCACATGTGCCCCCAAACAGCCTACCAATGCCATTCTTCCCTTAACCTTTCTGTGCCATCTCTCTGCCACTAGCATCTCTGCCCTTAGCCATGTCCTCCTCCATGTCCTCTTACCAATTCCAACCATGTCCGTCTCCCCTCCATGTCCCCCTCCCCTCCATGTTACCTTACCAATTCAATCTATGTTCCTCTCCTCTCCATGTGCCCCTCCCCTCCATGTCTCCTTACCAATCCCACCCATGTCCCCCTTCTTCATGTCCCGTCCCTCTTACCAATTTCATCTGTATCCTCTTCCCCTCCATGTCCCCCTACCCTCCATGTCTCCTTACCAATTCCATCCATACCCTTGTCCCCTCCATGTCCCCCTCCTCTCCATGTCCCCATACCAATTCCATCCATGTCCCCCCCCCCCCAGCACACTGATGTGTTGCTCTCTCCCTTCTTCCATAACTGGCAGCAAGCCTGTTCCCTCACCTAATGATATATATGGCCCCCCTCTCTGCTGGTTTACCTGTTTCGTTGTCTGGCATGCTCTGCCTCTATCACACTGAGCGCCAGGTAGTCACGTGATTCCCAGCGTGATTATCACGCTGAGCGCTAGGGGTAGGCGCTCCCTAGCTGGCTTAGTGTGCCTGCGGTTCCCTTATGGAGCTGCACGCTGCCTGCAGGTTGAGAGGAAAGCAGAAATCAGTCAGACTGACAACTGATTTTTGCGCTCCTGGTGGCGACTGGCTTCGCAGGCGGTTCGGCAAACGTGTTAAATGTTAGTAACAGGTTCACGCAAACCATTGCGAACCGGCTGAATCCAACCACTTATCATGGCTGTGACTCAAAGAGTATCCATTAAAAAAAGGTTTCATTTTTACTGCACAGTGTGTAAGAAGTTGAACTTTAATCACACACCTGAGGCTGTTGCAGGCTCTAACAGGCAATTGACAGAGCAGAAAAAAAGGAGGTTAAAATCCTGGTTCTTTTTCAGGAAGTGCACAGGGAGGCTGTGTGAGTCCCAGCCAGGGGAGGTGTGACTAGGATTTAATTATCTAAATGATTTCTATCTAAAATTGTGTCATAAAGTTGGTTTTCTGTTTAGTCAGTCCTTTTAAACTTTTGGTTATTTTTTTTAACACAGCACAAAAAAAGTGTATTTATTTGTGCCATATTACACTTTATTTTGTCACTTTCTTTGTGACAAACTTTTTTTTTTCTTGTAATTTTCTTAAAAAGTCAGATACATTGGAAGGACTCAAAAAAGGACATAAAGAACCTTACGTACTTTAGACTCAACAGCACTGTATTTTTATGGAATAAAGCATTTATTTTTCACATTGTTTTGTGGTGGACCCTTCATTGTGAACCACAATTACTCAGTGCGTACAATTTTACAATTCTCGATGGATTCACACCACTTTAATACAAAGAGTTTTAAGATTTCTTTCTCTGTAATTATACAGTTTTTGTGCATTTTATGGCTGCTGACTCGTCATCCTCTCTAGACATGCCTAAAGCTATTTCAGTCATTGATGTTAATTTTTAAAAGTCTGTCCTACATTTTTATGTTTTTTTTTCTTTTATTTATTTCCCCTTCTTCTTTTATTTGATCCATTCTAACAATCTCACTTGTCCTGGATCGAGAGGGTCTTACCAATATTGTTGACTATGTAATATTAGACTCACCCTGAATGTAAGCCATATAGTGGAGAACTATACTCAAATATATGGTGCTTCATGTTCTAGATTCTGAGAAGAAATTTGAACTTGTGAATTGGTTTTATCTTTTTGCTTCTTTCTCTGTGCACAATAGGATCTCTTGGCTCTTCGTCCGCTACGGTTGTCAATTCAAACTCCTGCAGATCTTCAACTGCAAGAGTTAAACTGAATATACTGGGCATGCTGTAGTTGACAATGCATGGATGTAATGCAAACATTTTCACCAAAATAAATTCTAATGGCATGCACATTTACTTAAAAATCTCCATAAGACAAGCTATCTCTCCCAGAAATAATTCATCACCTGTTTCAAAGTAGCATGCTCTTTGCTATGAGAATTGTGGTCACAAAGGAACTTGCGTTCATGGGGGTGGCATTGTCCCTGCAAACAAACTAGTTATTCAAATTTGCCCTGTATTCAGATTAAATATCACCAATTGGAAGACACTTAATACATTCATTTACACATTGAAAATAAATTGTATTTACAGCAGCTCTTCCACCTTAAACATAAAATATTTATAAATTACTCTTGACCCCTTAAGGACCAAACTTCTGGAATAAAGGGGAATCATGACATGTCACACATGTCATGTGTCCTTAAGGGGTTAATGACTATGTTCAAATTTCATTCCATTTCATCCCAACACAATCAAACCAAGATAGCATAAGACAAAATAGGAACTACTGTGTCTTTTGGTAAAAGTCCAAGTTGCCAAAACTTGACAAAAGGTGGAACTTCTGCTATCAAGTTTTGTCGATTTCAGAAACTGTTGCTAACAATGGCTATGGGAACCAGACATCTTCTCATGCACCGTGAGCTGGTTTATGGAGGATCTCAGGGTCTTGCGGATTTCTCTACACTGTACTCTTAAGCATTTCCAAGAGTGTGACTTTGACACAGCTCCTGGTGGATGAAGCACCAGCAGCTTAAGATGTTTGCAGAAAATGGCAGAACTTACAAGAGTATCTAAGTATATAGTTAGTATATCTGCCTTCAGCTTCTCTTCCTGCTGACAGACACGTGAGCATGTCACTTAGTGCTCTAATTGTACAATATGGAGAAAATGACCGCAACCCTTTGTGGCTTTTGGTACTATTTTTAGAAGCTTTTTCACCTTGGTTGAATATCTTTCACCCTACAACTAAGGATGCCATTACATCTGACATAGCTTCCTCTTTCATCTTTCTCTTCTCTCTTTGATCCTCTTTTTAGCTCTGCTTTCTGCTTTTATTTGGGGAAGTTAAAGACAGTAGTAGTGTGTAATATTAGTAATAGTAGTAGTGATATGCACTTATACCTCAATATTAACTTTAAGTTACAAAGGACCCATTTAAATATTGCAAATAAGTGATATTGTAGACCTATCCAGCATAAAGGGACACTATAGTCACCACAACAACTTTAGCTTAATTAAGCTGTTTTGGTGTTTAGATCATGCGTCTCAGGTTTTACAGCTCAATTCACTGCTATTTATGAGTTAAATCACTTTTGTTTCTGTTTATGCAGCCCTAGCCACACCTCCCCTGGCTGTGACTGACACAGCCTGCATGAAACAAAATGGCTTCACTTTCAATCAGATGTAACTTAACTGAAAAGTTTTTTATCTCCTGTTCTGTAAATTTAACTTACATTACATACATGAGGCTCTTGCAGGGTCTAGCAAGCTATTAACAGAGAAGGAGATAAGAAATTCTAGATTAAACAGAATGTGAAATAAAGGGGGTTTAAACATTTAGATGACTCTTTACAGAAAACGTTTAGGAAGGCTATGCAAGTCACATGCAGGGAGTTGTGACTAGGACTGCATAAACAAAGTGATTTAACTCCTAAATGGCAGAGGATTGAGCAGTGAGGCTGCAGCGGCATGATCTATACACCAAAACTGCTTCATTAAGCTTAAGTTGTTTTGGGGACTATAGTGTCCCTTTAACCATTATACTTCCCTTTTGGAAGGAGCAGGTATTTAAATAAAATGTATACTGCAAAAGAGCAAGTCTTTTTTTATTTATTTTTTTATTCTTGATTTATATTGTGGAGCAGTACAATAAGAATTCAAGGAGTAATGAGTTTAGCTGCTGTATCTGCTATACATTATGTGGGATCCAGGCTAAAGCAATAAATGCTACAAGAAATACCATTCATATATCAAAAGAAATAAACAAAAAGCAATAAAGACACCGGAGAAATCGCACACGGTTTCTTTTACCAGGGCCATCAGTTAAAGTAGGTCACCAAGCAGGCACAAATGGCATGATGATAGTTATGTCCCAACGATGCTTGGGAACCGCGTTTAGAGGGACTCCCAACACAGCAAGGAAAGCCTGTGAGTCTGCAGCAGTAAGTTACTTATGTGTAGTCCAATCTTTAGTGGACTAAAGATCTGTAGAAATCTTAGGTTGTCCCAACAATAGGGTATATTTTGTCCTGCAGAACAATGGAAACAGGGTGAAAAGACCGTCTCCATTGTAGTGTGGACCTAAATAAGTCAGAATAGAAAGACAGTCAATATTGCTCGAATTCCAAAGAAGGGGAATCTCTGACAGCTGCCATAACTGATATCTTGTTAGGATGTGTGACAAACTGTACAATTAGATCTCTAGAGACGGAGGTAGGGGATTTAGCTGGTGTATAGATCCTATAGGAGCCATCTATGAGCTTATGAGGTAAGACATGATGGAAAAGGCATCACAAGAAATGCGGACTCTCGGGTGTCTCCAGAGCGTCAGGGATAACCCAGATATTCATATTTTTGCGAAAACTCTTATCTTAATGTTCTGCCAGCTTCTGTACCACTGCAGCTTGGATCTATGATAGGTGTTTTTGCTCGGAACAAACAGATATGTTGGGCGTTTAGATGAAGAGAGTCTTCCTTGCAGCCTTGAACAGCAAATATTTCCATGTAAGCTTGCAGGAAACATCTTGCACCTAGATCTTACATCTGGTCACCCTATCATGTTAAACTATTTACTCATATAGACATGATCACACATACGCATATACCATGAATCGGACTTGAAATAATGTATCAGGAAGTTATTCATGTGAAACACAGCAGAGTGGAATTTTTTTTATAACATGCAAAAATAGCACGGTTTGCATTGTAAATAGGAAATGTGTAAGCCTTTTTATTATATTTTACACTCTATAGTATAAATGAGCATGAAACACAAAACAAACATTAGATATACTTATTGATAATGTCTATGTATATATATATATTTGTGATAGTGTACTGCAAATGTATAAGAGTTACACTGGTATAATGAGCTTGCAATTCATATATATCAAGGATGAGCATGCATAGGGAGACCTTTTCATTGCTCAGGTACAGAAGGGATAGACATCACTGGTTAGAAGAAGTACCTCCAGTGAGGACATGTATGTATTAACAAGGGTTAAAAAAAGGGGGGGGGGCAGGGCCGGACCGCCGAGCTGGCTGGTCGCAAGTGAAACCAGCTCTACAACCCAAGGCCTAACAAGCAATAAAATTCAGATTTCTGGCACAAAACTGACTGGCAACAGTGGCCCTCAGCGGGCAGAGAGCCCTGGATCCAGGGTGAGGCTGGCCAAACAGGCTTCAGTCCCCTGGAGGAGGAATCCTACCTGACACTTTTTTATTTTGAAATTCTTTATTTTTTGGTGTGCATAAAGGTTTACAACATTGCTTGTACAGCCACATCAGCTCTCACAAGCGCAAATTCCAAAGAAGAAAAAAAAACAACAGATATGTGGTATGTAAGGAGCATACACATTTTTGTTATGAGCTTACTTTACATCGTGATATCAACAAGTTGAGTAAAATATTAACAATAACAATAGGTGGACATATGCTTTAACAGTGGTGTTTTAGCAGATTTGTGCTATGAGGGATAGTACTATAGTAGTGCGATTAAGCTGTAAGTCTTTCGCACCCTGTAATGAGAAGGGACTACGTCAGCCTTTCGTTTTGGCTCAGTTTAAGTGGGAGCGTGTGGTTTGTGCCTTAGAGTGAACGCTAGACAGGTTACGTCTTGGTAAGGTAGTCAGGTCTTAAATATTGTAGCAATAATAAAGAAATAAGAAACACAAGAGAAATTTTAAGAAACAAAGAGTATGGTTTGATCTGGAAGCGTGACATTAATTTTGTCGTGCCGATTCATACAGATAAGGAATATACGGCCCAGTGGCGTGTTCCATGTATAGCAGAGGTTAGACTGTGGCTTAAAGGCATGTATGTCTGTACATTTTTCAGAGAACAGAGATAGCTAAATGCTTCTGTTGTCAGAATAGAAGTGTGTATCGCCTATTTCGTTAGTGTGGCTTACGCTGCCGTATGAGTAGTGCAGTATTAATGGCAACCATGTTGTTGCGGCTAGTTTGCTCTAAATGTTTCAGTGACTCATGTCGTGTGAGATGACCCATGTTCGGCTAGGCCATTGTACTGTCAGGGTAGGGTTAAATATCAAGTTAGTCCTGCCATAAGTATATGAATGGGTGAGTGTAAGAATGCGTCCCGTGTTTAAGTCATATGGAAAGGTCAAGGCTCTATAAAATGCGTCGGGCCTGGTTGAGCTCGTGTTCCTATTTTGCGGTCAGTTTGGTCCCTGCGCTGTAACATTCTAAGTAAATGCGCATTTACAGTGATAAGATCATTTTGTGGCCTTAACGCTATTATAAACAAATAACGATCATGGACATTGGTCCCTCCTAGGGGTCCTTACGGGCTGTCCTGCATGGAGGACTGAGAGTCTCTGGGTGTGGGGTGGCGACTGTCACAAGACGATCGAGTGCCCTGGGGCTGCTTAGGGTGTTATCGTGTGGCTCTGCGAAGTCCCTCTTGAGTGCCTCTCTCTGAGTAGGGGAAAGTCCTGGTTTTTCGTGGTCTCTCAAGCGACCAGCAGGGTGATGCCGTCAGGTACAAAATAAAAGTCCATGGAAAGAAAAACAAAAAGAACTGGGTATGAAGGAAACTAAAGTCTGATGATAGGCAGGAGCGGCCGTGGGTCGCTGTCTCTGCGCCTCTTTAGGGCGGTATAGTGCCGCTTGGTGCCCCATTCCTCTCTGCAGGGTTGCCTGGCTGCCCTTTCAGCGGGACAAATGGCTTGGTCCTTGCGGGGTCCCAGTTGTGCTTCTTGCTTCTGGCTTCCGCTGGGCCTGTCGGCATAAGGGAGTTCTCTGGCAGGCCAAGTGTGATCAGCAGCCGTTTAGCCTCCGGTAGGTCTTGGACTGTGTGGATCATATTGTCCTTTAGGACCTGTAGGGCCCTTGGCGTGCGCCATCTGTAGGTGATATCATTTTGTCTCAGGAGTTTTGTGACTGGTTGAAGGGATCTGCGCCACTGCATGGTATCTCCAAACAAGTCTGAAAAGAAGGTAAGGTTGGCATTTTCGAAGTTGAGCGGGGTCTTCCCCTGCAGGGCCTTAAGCATGGCCGCTTTGTCTGCTCCAGATTGGAATCTCACCACCAGGTCCCCGGAGGCCGTGGCTGGGGCCGTCCTCGGTTTGGGGATTCTAAATATCGCCTCAAAGCTCAAGGCTTTCGCTTGTTGAGGCTTCAGTAGTGTTCCCGCGAGTCTCCTCACCAGGTGTGGGAGTTCTTCTGGCAAGACTTCGTCTGGGACGCCTCGGATCTTGAGGTTATTGCGGCGTCTTTGATCCTCAAGGGCCGCAAATCGGTGGTCCGTAGTTGCTTGGTGCTTTTTGAGCGTTTGTAGCTCTTTACGTAGGTCCGCAATTTCTTGGGCCTGCTTGTATGTGTGGGCCTCTATGGCTCCCATGCGCCCGATCAGGCCCGTCACCTCCGCCCGGAGCTGTGCAACATCTGCCTGGATCACCCGCTGTAAGTCACCCAGCATTGTTCTCAGCGTGTCTGTTGTGATCAGTTCAGGTTGCTTTGTGGGTGTGGGTGGTTGGGTCAGTGGGGCGAACATGCCGCTGGTGTACTCATCTAGGCTCAGTTCGTCCGAGGAGTCTGAGTACCCCGCCATGTCGGCGGCCATTTTGGCCCCTCGTGCGTCTTGTGCCTGGTGGAATAGGTCCCCGATATCGGGTCCCAGTTTAGGCTTGTCCGGCCTCTGCTTCTTCGCTTTTCGTCCCATGGTTCTGATGGGCCTGTGGGAACGATTTTGGTTTCGTTATTTTTGCGAAATTCGCATTTTTGTCAGCTATGGATGAGGAGCTCGTTGATCGTGTGTCTGTTCCTGTTGGCTGCTAGGCTCCGCCCCTCTACCTGACACTTTTGAGGCCTACTCTGGAGGAGAGCGGGGCGGACTGCCGCTTCCCTACCACAAGCCATTCAGCGCTCAGAGTCAGATCCGCGGGGAACCGGCCCCATACCCACCCCCCCGGTCCCCACTCTCGGGACCCGACAACCATAAGCACGACAGGCGAAGCTACAGGACCACCAATACCCACGCTCCAGGCACTGTCACCAAGATGGCGGAGTCCAGAGCCTCCACAGGATACTTCCCAACAGTAGCAGTACAACGAGCGGACTGTAAATACCAAAGTTACAGATCCCGACTGCAACCATCCACCTGCACACATCCTAGAACCCCAGCAAGCCACCCACCTCCACTAACACTGTACCCTCAGAGGTCTCCCGCTGGGCTACGGTACTTCCTCCCTCCTCCAAGCAGGGAAACAAGACGCCCCACAGAGGCCATCTCACCCTCAGGGACTCTGTGCCATTCACTTACGAGATCTGCTGCCTGGGGGTATACTCCACCCAAAAGCTGGCCCATAGATCACATTGTGAATAGGAGCGCCCATCTTGTTGACCTTACCAGCCTGTCTTTAGATAACTGTCATTAGTTAGAATCGCAAAAGCATGGGTGATCTTTGTTTCACTACTACTACAAATGCTGGATTTGAATTATCATAATTAACCCATCACATTCAAGCGACTTACCTAGTGACTGACACAATGTCTGATATGTGACCTAACTGCTAATAGACTGTAGGATATGACTAGTTAGACAGCCTGTTTAAGCGTAATCATACCTAGGGCCCGAAGCTAAAGCGACAAAGCGACAACGATTACTGCACTTAATAACCTTAAGCTACTGTTACCAAACGTCTGACTAATTCATTTTAGACAGCCAGCATGTACCTAGCCTGTTTTATCATATATTGTTTAAAAAATATGTGCAAACCTTCTAAATGCTTAACAACGGTTACAACTCTTGTATGTTTATACTACCTAAGAATGCTGTTGTGGCATTACAGTCAAGCGAATGTTATACATGCACATCAAAAATAAAGAATTTATAAAAAAAATAAAAACAGAAAAGAGAGAGGGAGATACATATATGGGGATTTGAACAGTATACACAAAGGTGCCCAGACGTATCAAAAGGGATGGGTGGAAGAGGGAAAAGAGGGTAGAAATTTAAACCCTAGAGGTAGGGTATTATAGATAGATAGGGTGAGTATTATCACTTATATAATCACTATGGAACTTTAAAATATTATAGAAACATTGGCAGGGTAACCTGGAAAGGAGTGAGACCACGGACTCCCTCAGTATAAGTGGAATATATTAGGGAGCTTGGTTACGTAACCCCTTATAGTTCTATGTGGAAAGGTTCCCCCGTGGGGGGAGGGACCACCGCTAGCCACATTAAAGAAAGCGGATTGCCAGAGTGACCTACCCGTCTCTGGTCACATAGACAGAATTGAGTGGGTTTTTTGTATTTTTTTTTTTGTGTACTGAAAAGCAAATGAGTACTAGGTCATTGCGAATTAAGACGATTAACTGTAAAAGGCTTAATACACCAGAAAAAAAGGTCAAACCTTTTTAGAGATATATGGTTATCACAAAGCTCGGTAATTTTTTTTCAGTAAACTCACTTCAAAGAAGGTTATGCTCCAAAGCTATATGATAAACCGTTCCCAACGGGTTATTTTAGCAATCACTGTGAAGCAAAACGGGCCAGAGAGGCTATTCTATTTTCATCTCAAATAAATTTACAAGATGCAGATAACAGATGCAGAAAAGGCATTTGACCGGGTGGACGGGACCTTTAGAACATATGGGTTTTGGGAGGGAAAGTAGGCAGTGGATAAAGTATCATTTTACTAGCCCAAATGCCTTTATAAATGTGAACGGATCATTTTCAGAGTTAGTTCAGATAAATAATGGTACCCTCCAAGGCTGTCCACTCTCTCCAATTTTATTTGCCCTATCTCTTGAGCCTTTGCTACAAACTATTAGGAGAAACATAGATATTAGGGGTTATAATTTTAAAGGGACAGAACACAGTAGCTTATGCAGATCATATGTTGTTTTTTTATCACGAAACCAAGAACTACTCTGCTAAATCTAATAGTAGAATTTAAGAAGTATAAATTGCTATCCAATCTTAAGCTAAATGCATCAAAATGTAAAGTATTAAATATTACAGTTCCATCACTAGTAAATAATAGTCTGTTAACCCAATTTCCATATAAATGGTGTAAAGACCAAATTAAGTTCTTGGGTATCTGGCTAACCACTGACCCCCTCCCAAGCATTTATCATAAATCACTTGAGATTATTAAAGGATCACTATAGGTTCAGGAACACAAACATGTATTCCTGACCCTATAGTGCTAAACCCACCATTTAAATGGATTGCCCTCCCTTAGGCCCCCTATAAAAGTTTAAAACTCACCTTATTTCCAGTGCCGCGCGGGTCTGCCGGTGCTGGCTCCGCCCCCTTCGTGACATCAAAATGGCCGATTTTTAGCCAATCCAATGCTTTCCCAATCCAATACTTGGCCCGTTTTGGCCAATCAGGACCTCCACTAGAGTGGTGCCAAGACAATTCTGGCACCATAACCACAGCAGAGCACTGTAGTGCTTATGGTGTTTGGAGTGTTTCTTCATCAACGTTGATCACGATCATGAAGTTGTTTATCTATTTTTAAAAGAACACTTCATGAGCCATAACCACTACAGTCCGCTATACCTTGGTCCCGCTGGTGTCCTCGGCTGCATGCCCAGCTTCTGGGATTCTCCTTCAGGAGACCAAGGCGGTGCCTTCTCATTTTTTGAGAGGGTCAGTGAATCAGGGACGGATCCAGAACCTAATCTCGGGAAGGGCACTGGTAGATTAGTTAAAGAAACAATCCAGGCACCATAACCACTACAGCTCTCTGCCATGGGGCCATCCCAGGGAATAGGGACTGTAGTGGAGAATAGGTGCAGTAGTGTGAGAGGTGCAGTGTGTGTGGAATGTAGTGTGTGTATAGGGGTGCGTTGTGTGTGAGGGGTGCAGTATGTGGGGACAGGAGGGGTATAGTGTGTGTGTATGGGGGTATTGTGTGTGTGTGTATGGGGGTGCAGTGTGTGTACTGGGGGGCAGTGTGTGTGTATTGGGGGCAGTGCGTTTGTGTATGTATTGGGGGCAGTGATGTGTGTGTATTGGGGCAGTGGTGTGTGTATTGGGAGCAGTGTGTGTGCGTGTATTGGGGTCAGTGTGTGTGTATTGGAGAGTAGTGTGTGTGTATTGGGGGCAGTGTTTGTATTGGGGGGCAGTGCTTTGTGTATATATACCACTTAGAGCTCATTCAAACTCCAAAATTATATACAAACACTCTCCTTCACTCAAACACCAATGCTACACACAAATAAGGTATGTCTTTTTGCTGATGATACTAAGATATGTAACAGGGTTGATGTTCCAGGAGGGATAAGCCAAATGGCAAATGATTTAGGTAAACTAGAAAAATGGTCAGAATTGTGGCAACTGACATTTAATGTGGATAAGTGCAAGATAATGCATCTTGGATGTAAAAACCCAAGGGCAGAGTACAGAATATTTGATAGAGTCCTAACCTCAACATATGAGGAAAGGGATTTAGGGGTGATTATTTCTGATGACTTAAAGGTAGGCAGACAATGTAATAGAGCAGCAGGAAATGCTAGCAGAATGCTTGGTTGTATAGGGAGAGGTATTAGCAGTAGAAAGAGGGAAGTGCTCATGCCATTGTACAGAACACTGGTGAGACCTCACTTGGAGTATTGTACACAGTACTGGAGACCGTATCTTCAGAAGGATATTGATACCTTAGAGAGGGTTCAGAGAAGGGCTACTAAACTGGTTCATGGATTGCGGGATAAAACTTACCAGGAAAGGTTAAAGGATCTTAACATGTATAGCTTGGAGGAAAGACGAGACAGGGGGGATATGATAGAAACATTTAAATATATAAAGGGAATCAACACAGTAAAGGAGGAGACTATATTTAAAAGAAGAAAAACTACCACAACAAGAGGACATAGTCTTAAATTAGAGGGACAAAGGTTTAAAAATAATATCAGGAAGTATTACTTTACTGAGAGGGTAGTGGATGCATGGAATAGCCTTCCAGCTGAAGTGGTAGAGGTTAACACAGTAAAGGAGTTTAAGCATGCGTGGGATAGGCATAAGGCTATCCTAACTATAAGATAAGGCTAGGGACTAATGAAAGTATTTAGAAAATTGGGCAGACTAGATGGGCCGAATGGTTCTTATCTGCCGTCACATTCTATGTTTCTATGTAAATGTATATCTGCATTTAATAGCCACCATTGCATCCAAACACACCACTTCAATTAAGCGCAAATATTACATAGAAACACACCCCTATATTCAATAAAATTATATACAAGCACCCCTTCAATCAAACACCAACACTACACACAAAAGCACACCTACTTTAAAAAGCCTACACTACATACATACACACCCTGCATTCAAACACTACACACACGTACACCACTGCATTTCAATGGCAACAGTACATACAAATACACTCCTACATGCACACATATACTCTATACAAAAACATGCTTACATTAAAACGCACAAACACTGCTCACAAATACAGCTCTGCAAGCTTTGGCAAATGGTAGATCCTCAGCTGGTATAGCATCTTTGGAGCTGTACGACAAATGGGGATCTACCTTTTGGTCACTCATACATTAATTCTGACACTGTGATAGGGCACTCCTGACACCATAACCACTATAATGGGCTGTTGTGGTTTACACAGCCATGTCACAGTTTGTGATTTTAGCATGGGGATTCTCAGCACTTAAAGGGACGTTTCAGTCCCTGAAGCACTTCAGCTTGCTGAAGTATTTTTAGGGTTTAACTGCATAACCTCTTTGGTTTATTTTATAAAAGAGCCAAATCATGCAAAATCTACACTTTTATAAATCCCTTTAGCAACACATCCTGACTTTTAAGCAAACAACCAGGACTCACTCACTATCAGCTGTAGTTTAAAGCAGGAGAGAATGCTTCTCATAAAGAAGCATTGTTGGAGGATCCCTGTGCATGCACCATGTGCCCTCAATATGTTCTATATAACAAAAATTGTATCGGACACAAGTCATCAGTAATGGAGGAGGCAGTTTGGAGATGAAGTGTGATCCTTTGAATTAAAAAAAAAAAGCAAACACACACACCCACATATATATATATATATATATATATACATTATTTTCAAAGTGGAGTGTTCCTTTAATGAGTTACAGTGATGTTGCATGCAATTACTGTTAAACTGTGATCAATGTGTGTCATGTGCACATTACGCATTGCACATGCATCAGTAACGTTGCATAGGTCACATGGTGGGTCTCAACCATGCTGAGAATAAGTTATTCCTAATACATACTTTGAGGCTTGTTTCACATGCCAGTAATTACACACTTAGAACATTTGATTTCAAGCCATTTAAAGGGTCATAGAGCATCTAGTCTAGTAATACAGATTACAGAAGTTTACAAACAGTTCACATATTACAAAATACAGTCACAATAATGGATGGACAGATTTATGCAGACTAGATAACACAAAAAATATTAAATGCTGAAATACGTTTATTTAAAAAAGGACTTTAAAATAAAAACATACGAGAACGGGGGGGAAGGAGAGCAGGGCCTGACTACAGAGCAAACAGGAAGCTTGCTGAAAGAGCTTCTCTGCAAAAATGGGAAATTGGCCCATAACCTGCTAATTTTCACAAATTGCCAGCTGAATCTGAACCCTGAGTTTATCTGGGCACCACCTGGACCCAACCCTATGACTCTGCTGAGAGTTTTGTTGGACCTGACAACTGCTAACCAACCTGAAGCGGTTTACTGCCTGGTTTACATATCGATGACAATCTGGGCCACGCTCCCCCCCCTGGGCCAGGGGTGGGGGTATCCCAGTCCCCACAGAGTACCTGCCTATGAACAACACGGTGTGGGGTGATAATCAGTGTAACGGCACCCTCAGCATAAAAGGGTTAAACCACCGTTTAGT